TTCCTTCCGGCGAGGCAGCTGGGCAGACGGTCGCTGATGGCAGTCCTCATCGCTGTCTCTGCGGACAAAACCATGAGACCCACACACCACCATGGCTCACCTCTTGCGTGGAAAGCAGGCCGGTGTCAGCAACGACCTCTCCCTGGGCCTGGGCCCTGATTCATTCGTGCTCGACCATGTACGCGCCCGCTGTCTTCTCGCCCCGCCGTTCCCCCAGCCCTCTACGCGCAAGCTAACAGCACGTGAAGATCCGCAACTACGGCATCAACTCCAAAGTCACCCAGGTCGCATACGACCCCGTCCAATCCCTCCTCGCCGTCGGCACGAGCGACAGCAAGTATGGTCCCGGCCAGATCTACATATTCGGACAGAAGAGGGTCGAAGTGGTGCTGTCGCTGCCCACGCGCAACGCCTCGATCAAGATCCTGCAGTTTTGCGCCGAGAAGCTGCTGTGCGTAGACTCAAAGAACGACCTGTCCGTCTTTTCGCTCGAGACGAAGAAGCTGCTCAACGCCCATTCCCCTCCCGCCCGCATTACGGCGCTGCACTGCGACCCTACCATCGATTACGCGCTGCTCGGTACACAGCACGGTGAGGTGTACGCCTATGATCTGGCTAGGGAGGCACTTACGCCCTTCAAAATACCCAACTTGTGGAGGGAAAAGTTCCCACGCTCACGCCTAACCTCCGTTGTTACGCTCTCGCTCCACCCCAGAGATATCGGCTCCCTCCTGATTGGGTACAACTCCGGCGCAGTCATCTATTCGTTCAAGCAAAACAAAGCCCTGCATTTCTTCAACTATGTGGTCCCCAAAGGAGCCCCTGGAGGCGACTCGGATCCAGTCTCCGTCTCCAAGGACCGCGAACCTCCGCTTACCCAGGCTGTCTGGCACCCAACCGGCACTTTTGTTCTGACTGGACACGAAGACAGCAGTATCGTTATATGGGATTCCAAGGATGGCCGCATCGTACAAGCGAGAACCTTGACCGATACAAACGTAGACAAGCCCGGTCCAGGTAGCTTCAGCCCAGGTGCCGTTGAAGGATCGTTTGCACTCAAGTCCCCCATCTTCAAGATTGCGTGGTGTGCGAACCAGGACCCTGACGATACCGCTATCCTCATCGCTGGTGGACAGCCATCCAACATCTCCGCCAAAAGTCTGACGCTTTTCGAGCTGGGTAGAACACCGGTTTACGCGACCGCATCCTGGCAAGTACTATCCGATCACTTCGAGAATCCCAAGAGGCAAAGGATACTTCCATGCCCGCCTGGGACTGAGGTGGTGGACCTGTTCCTCATTCCAAGGACGTCCCCTCATTACGCTGGCTGCCACGACCCCATTGCCATTCTCGCCTTACTTGCATCTGGGGAGTTGATCACTCTCTCTTTTCCAAGCGGAATGCCCATCACGCCAACTAATCAACTGCACCTCTCCATGACGCTTGTTCATCCGTATATCAACTATGCAAATCTCGCGCCTGTAGAGCGTACACGGTGGCTTGGCATGACCGAGAAGCGCCAACACGGTCCGCAATTCCTCATCGGTGGTGCCGAGGCTGTTCATCCGCTCAAGCGGTTTGAGAATCGAAACATCGTCCAGACAGCTCATGCAGATGGCACGATCAGACTATGGGATGCAGGTCACGCCGATGAGATTGAGAACCCTGCATTGCTACAGGTAGACGTAGCTCGAGCAGTCGGCCGCCCAGAGCACATACACGTGACACAAACCTCGTTTGCAGGAGCAGCATCCGAACTATCCGTAGGGCTGAAGACTGGTGAAGTAGTGGTATTCAGATGGGGTGTAAACAGGCATGCTGGACAGGAGTACCCACCGGGTGACAATAAACCGCAAGCGCTTACCAATATCTCGGAAAGAAGTGAAGCGGCTCTCAAAGAGGGACTGCTGCCTTTTACTTTGCTTGACGAGGGCAATGGACCAGTCACCGCCTTGAAACATTCTGATGTTGGCTTTGTTGCTGCGGGCTTTGAGGGTGGCAGTCTGGCCATCATTGATTTGCGAGGACCCGCTGTTATCTACAGAGCGTCGATACAGGAATTTGTCAAGCCGGACAAACGCGCCAGCTTCCGACGGAGTTCAACGCAGGCAGCACCCAAAGCGGAGTGGCCCACTTGCCTCGAGTTCAGTGTTATGACACTCGAAGATGACGACTATTCCAGCATTCTACTTCACGTCGGTACCAATCTTGGCCACCTGGCAACCTTCAAGCTACTGCCAGAACCAAGTGGCCAATACTCAGTAAAACCTGCGGGTGTGTGCTCGCTTGACGACAAGGTTATCAGCATCAGCCCCATGCACGCCGAAACTGGTCGCCCAGCATATGCTTCGCAGTCTGCCGTTGCTGGACTTCGGAATGGCTCGAAGATTAGCGGCGTCCTTTTAGCCACAACAGCCTCAGGCGCGAGGTTATTCCGTCCCGCCACAAGTAAAGGAGCGCACAAAACCTTTGATCAGTTCTTGTGCGATGCTGCGACTGTGGTGAGGTACGAAGACAAGGGCTACGCAATGCTTGGTTTGTATGGAGATGGATATGCGAGAGCGCATTCGCTACCTGCATTGAAGGAGATCGGGTCTGTCAACCTCAGTGATTTCTTAGACATCAGGCGCTTCTCTGAGGCAGTCATTACAAGTACTGGCGACATCTTTGGCTGGAAAGGGCCTGCGGAAATGGCTCTTGTCAACGTCTTTGGAACGGGACTGCAATAGTAGGTCGACTCATCTCCCCAGCCATGACACATGTACTGACCAAATCTAGTGAACGCGCGAAGGATGTCTTGCTTAACCCAGAACTTTTGATTCCGCCCCGACCCACTATCAGCAATATTCAATGGATCTCTGGCACCCAATATGTAACACCAGCCGACATGGATCTTCTCAGTAAGCTATTCTTACTTCTATTCCCAACAAATTACTGACTTCTCTTAGTTGGTGGTCCTGATAGGCCCTTATCAAATCGTCAAATGGCGCAGCAGCGAGCAGAGGCAGAGCAGGAACGACGCCGCGCCAATCCGACCGCAGCCAGCTCTTCTGCCGCTGGATATCAGTCCTATCCTACCCAAGTATCCCCGACTCAAGAAGGATGGGGTGCTTGGGCGAGTCGTCAGCTCAACGAGCGCACGGAGAAGCTCAACATTGTTGGGGATAGTATGGACAATCTTTCACAAAACAGTGCAGGTTGGGCAAATGACGTCAACAAGTTTGTCGGAAAGCAGAAGAGAGGACTAGTCATGGGTGCTATGAAGAGCAAATTCGGATTTTGAGTCGGAAACACCCCATGGAAACATGATACAGGATGGTACACGGCTATATAGCTACAACGAAGATTTTAAATGCGAGCTGGGCGTTCTATTGAGCGATTCCCGATTCCAAGACTCTTAATTTTACCTGCAGGGATAAGTCGCGGCCTACTTCTAGTACTTGTAATGCAATATTTGAATGTGATACCATCAATCTTGACTGATCACGCCCGTGGTACCCAAAACCGGTACCTAGGTATCATCTCGCCAGTTCCTGCCCTTCGTCAGCGGCCCCGGCTAGCGCAAGGCAACTTCCTCAACCGTGCGCTGTCCTGCTGCACATTGACACACCACCACTTCCTATAATCACATCGAAACGAGAAAGCAAACCTTCTTCACAACAATGAGTTTTTTCAGTGGCATCCGGCAATGGCTCCCAAGCATACATTGGCTGCTAGGCCCACCCGAACCAACTCGCCCTTTCACACCAACCTACGCCGACGTGTGTCGCGCCCGCGCCGTGCTCAAGACCCTCAAATTACCCACCGAGCTGGTCCTCAGCATACTAGAGCACGCGCAATACTGGCCCGTCGAAGGGATTTCCCGGTCAGGCGGAACCGTCCTCGCCCGCGCTGGAATGAATAACCCGTCGGCAGCAACTCTCTGTCTCGAAGCCAACCCCTACTCCACGCCCATTGTGAAAGAAGCCAGCCTAGGCGGCGAAACAGCAAAGATCAAGCGCATCGATTTTGACATCACGAGTAGAGACCAAGGCTGGACGAGCGAAAATACGCAGGGTACTTTTTCCACCTCTTCATGGCTTGAGGTGTCCATCTTGCGCGATGCATCGAACATCAATAGTCTGCTTCCTACTCCGCGGTTGGTGAATACTTGGATTAGCAGTCCGATGGATTATCATACTAATATGGTGGGGCGCGGTTGGTCGCTTTCCAAGAGGCCTGAGAGTGCGCTGCAAGGCCCGCAGGGTGGTGAGGGGCATTTTGCTTGGTACCTACAGGGTAATCGTGTAATGGCTGGTACTCAAGACTATCATGTTTCATGGGATGAAAGTGGTTTGTGTGAGATTGATGAGGGTAACGAGGGTGCGGGGAGTGGAGAAGGCTTCTTGGATGCGTTGGAGCCGGGTGATCGTGTGTTGGTTTGGGCGAGGGCCAAGGTATGTTTGAGATGCGAGATTCGGAGGCTTCGTTGCCATGCTAACATATTTTGACAGTATCCAGGGTGGCAATGCATTGTTGACGGTGTCAGCGTTACTGTTCACTACGGCTTCTAAGGCTCAAACTGTTAGGAACCTCCTCTACCTAATCTGGGTTTACGTCATTCTACTTGTACGAGGAGTCAGCCAATGGTCATTTTGTTCACGCTACAGCTGCTTCATGCTTAAGTTGTAGGACTGGCTCTATTTCAGGATAATGATCGCATTCATGTGAGTCTCTGGTTCCATCCACGCCGCCTCGCTGCCCGCGCAGAACTACCCCCAAAGACACGATCCGATGAGAATAACTCTACGCAAACCAGCCGACCCATGTGCATCTAAGCAATTGACTTTTCCTATCCCAGAAATGGCGCTCATCGCTGCGCAGCACAAACTCAATATCCGTAATGCATAAGGCCCTAGCTTCCGACTCGTCGTCAGAGCGATCTGTCGAAAAAGAAACGCTCCTTCATCGCACACGCTCCAGCTCCGGCTGCCATGCTATCCATAGGCTGATGAGCCGTCTTATTTGGCATCATCTTCATCCTTCTTGGCCTCTTCCTTCTTCTCTTTGCCCTTCTTGGCATCGCTGTCCATGACGGTCTTCATCTGCCTGAGGTACCTTCCGAACTCCCCGAAGCTAGTCAGATCCATGCCCTTGGTAGTGTTGGTGAGTTTCTCAGCGGCAGACTTGAGACGGCTGTTGCGCTCGTTGAGGTTGAGGTAATTCTTCCTGAGGTTCTCCGCTTTCTGCTGGTCGGTGAGTTCTCCGGGCGTATTGACTGAGGACGGGGCTGGAGAAGGGAGATAGACGGCTTGAGAGGCTTGAGAGGACTCCGGGGTGAAGATCGAGGGGTATGCCGGCGCCTGGGGTACCTGCGAAGACGTAAACGTGAACTTGCGCGCGGCGGAGGCTCGGAGGCTCTCGTTCTCTGCTTGAAGGCGTTGGTTTTCTTGGACGAGGTAGTTGTTAGCGGAACCCTTGGTGTTCATGACGTCTTCGAGTATGCGCTCATGTTCCGCCTTCTCATCTTTTCTCAGTTGTTTCTCGCTCTGAAGCTCTCCGATTAGCTGGTCTTTCCTTGCGGTGACGTTGTCGAGTTTGACGCCCAGCCTGTCTCTGTCCAGGTTCGCCTTTAGCAGGTTCTCTCGTTCGGTCTCGAGATCGCGGTGAAGGGTTTGGAGCTGTTGATCAGTTGCGTTGTTGGAGTGGAGTTGGGCCAAATCACGATCGCTCTGTGCCTTCTCGTGGAGTAGGTTCTGTCGGGCGAGCTCGGCCTTGACGGCGTCGACTTCAGGACGCGACTGTTCTTGCTCGTTAGCATGCTTCTCCTCCGAATCCGCCATGTTGTCTTGAGGTTTGTGCCGTAGACGTGGAGGTGCACTGTAGAGGTTGGCCGGGCTTGTGGGAGGAGAGATGCCGCCGAAGTCCCATCTAGGAAGTCGGTCGAAAATCGAAAGTCCTGGCCTTGATTCGAGGTGAATGGGTTCTGGAGTCACCATGGAATCAGAGATACTGGGCTTGGCGTCCTCGTCAATGTCGACTTTCGATCCATGCAATTCCGCGGTCACTTCCTCTTTACGAGTAATTATTCGTTGTCGCACGTGCTGATATCCGTCGTCTTCACTGTCGGATAGAGTGATGAGGTCGACTTCCTTGCCAGCCGTCGTCGACCACATAGTTGACATGGTGTTGCCCATGCTGCCCTTGTCGTCCAGCTTTCTCTTGCTGTTTGCCTCGGTCTTCTGACGTTTCGCTGCTCGTGGAGTCACACGCGCGGGTGTATTGCGCTTCTTTGATTTTTTTAGGGTAGCCTTTCCAGTGTTCTTAGTTTGTGTTTGCTTAGTCGGCTGTGCTCGTTTTCCACTCACTGTAGGTTTCTTCGGTACCATGGTGGGCTTCAAGTGGCCAGGATGTGCTTCTTTGAGATGATGCACATGAGTCCTGGAGGGTATCGGCGAGTTGTAATGAGAACGAGCTTCACTCTGTCGCGCAGTTGATCTAGTCTCTTTTGTGTCGACTGTCTGTGCTGTCCGAGGTATCGTGGAGTTAGGCGGTTTATGCTGGTATACCTTTTGGCGATCGAATAGTAAACTAGCAAACAGACCAGATACAGGCAGGGCTTGTGAGGGTGCTGGCGTCGTTGCTTTTGATGTTGGAGTCCCAACGGAAGGATTAGGTGAAGCTGCGGACTTGCGACTACTTCGGCTTTGGCTTATAGATAAGCGCTCGCGAGCGGTCTGGTAATCGCAGGTAAGATTAGTGTTGGATCCCATCTTTCAATCTTGAGAGATCTTTGTCTGTATCGTATCGTACGCAACAACGGTACAGGTGAGAGGGCAGCTTGAGCAGTAGAGAACGTACGTGTAGTAGTTGAAGTGTTGCACATGCAAACTTCGATGGATGCTGCCTTGCACTATGCCTCAACAACTAGGTAGCAGAGCGGTGAGAGAGTCGTCGGAGGCGAGTATGCTGTTTGCCGGCGTCTGTCACATGTCCCGGCAGTGCTTCGCGACGTCAGAGAAGATTGGAGGAACTTAAACTGGAGAAGAATGAGATCTATCTTTTAAAGACCCGAGAGGGTTGACAGTCATTACAAGGTAGCGGGTAGCGGGTAGCGGGTAAAGGTGACCTTCCGGCGAGCCGCGTTCGATAAGGCGTCCGATCGATTTAACTCACCTATGCCCAGATTGATCTGCTCCCACACTTAACATTGAATGGCTGCTTTACACGGGTGTCTCTTTGCCATTGAGGTGCTGTCCATAACATGTTAGTCGTGATTGGCATACTCAAATACTTGGAGGAACACCATGTACTACGGGTTGTAAGGAAACGCCTTCGATTACAAACATGCTATACGCCCACTCCTCTAATATATGGTATGCAACGACTACTCCGTGAAGTGTACCCATAATGCCTACATGCGCCGACCAAGCAACCTCGTCACTCGTTATGTCGTAAGAAAAGATAAGCGGAAAGTCGAACGCAAATCGCTAAAGCATCTATCAAGAAAGGAAGAAAAGGTTGGTACAAGAAGGGAAAAGCCACCGCATAGGAAATGTACTAATACATCTCCTCTTCTCTCTCTTTGCCACTGCCATTAGTGTGTCTCACGCTGCCAACCACACTGGCACGTCCACTTCCACCGATGCGACTGCCACTCGCAGACGCAGTCCTTTGGACATCATCTGGGCCATCTTCGTCTCGACGGTCCCTCTCCTTCTCAAGCGCAGCCCTGAGGTCCGCATTCTCTTCTACCTTCTGCTCTAATCTCTTACGGGCACCGCTTCGGTCAAGGAGTCGGGCTTCACGCTCAGCTTTCAAACGCCGTTCGAGTTCCTTAAGTCGATGTATCCACTTCTGTTCGCTTGGCTGAAGCGGTCCAGCGGCGGGATAGGGATGGCCTGGCGTCGGCGTCGACGAATTCGAAGTCGAAAAATGCTCCACGACAGAAGCGGAGTGAGCACGCAATAGTGTTTGCGCCATACTGGCACGTTTGGAGGAGGTCGGCGAGGCAGCACGTGATGGTGAGCGGCTGACAATAACATCGTTACCGGATTGCGTTGTGGCGGTAATGGCGCGGAGGGTCTGGACCTCGGATCGTAAGGTCTTGTTCTCAGTACGCAGTTTGTTGACTTCCGCGGTGTTGAGGTCGACGATACCGCCACGGACAGTGCTAGGTCTTCCAATCGATTGCCGTTGGGCCATTACAAGCTTCTCGAGCTGGTCAAGTCGCTTGGCGCGAGAGTCTAGACTATGCTCGAGAGTTTGGTAGTCGCGGATCAGATTGTTTTCTATGTTGCGAATTCTTTGCTTGAAGGCACCAATGACACCCTCCACGGTCCTCACCGCAAGAATGATGTTCTTGTGGAAGCCCGGGACGTTCCTAGAAATGAGCTCCATGGAAGTCAGTTCTCCGTTGATGAGAGCGTTATTGCGGGACCATTCTGCGCCGCAAAGAGTGGATAGTCGATTCCACAGAGCGTAGAGCAGGTTGTTTCGTTCTAGCAGCTGCTCCTTGTACTGTTTCTCCAGGCTGTGGAGTCTCTGCCGATCCTGACTACGAAGGGTTTCAAGTTCCAGAACCCTCGATTCGTGTTGCTGGATCGCCCTGGTAGTGGATTGATGACCACGCTTGGCGTTTTCGAATGCTGTTTGGTCTTGTCGACGGCCTTGACGTTCGCGCTCGAGCAGCTCTGAAAGACGGCGGCTCTCCATGCCAGTGCTCTCCAAGAGAGCATCGCGGTTGCGCAGCAAACGGTCTTTCTCCGCAAGATCGGTTTTGACGACATCGAGCTCTTGCATAGTCGCTTGGAGATCTCGTTGAAGCTTTGCGATATCCTGAACGATCAGTTAGTATGTTGTTAGACGATCGGGAGTAACATCACTTACCTTGAAGAGGCTCGACCTCGTGCCGTTAAGGTTGCCCAGTGACTCACGAAGCATTTGCTCCAACTCGTCATGCCGTTGCTTCCAAGTGGATGCCTCAACTTCCTTGCTTGAGAGATTCTTTCGTAGCTTCCTGCTCTCTTCCTTAAGCTTCGACAACTGACCATTGAGTTCGGTGATGATCTTCTCCACCTCTTGTTTCTCTTGGGTCTCCAAGGCATCGCGTTGCTGCCTCTCTTCGGCCATGCGCTCCTCAAGATCCCGAGATCGCTCTCTAGCCTCTTGTAATGTGACTTGAGTATGGTTCAGCGCCGATTCCAGCTCGCCAATCTTGATCTTGTCGCCCTCTTGCTCTTCTCTCAGGAAATCGATCTCACCCTGACAAGACTCAAGCTGGACATCAAGTCGTTCATTCTTCGACCTCTCCTCACTAAGGAGCTTATCTTGCCTGTTCAGTTCTTCGTTGGCGTCGCCAAGCTCTGATTCAAGGTTCTGGATCTTGCGAAGGCTTGCATCCCGATCGTCTTCGAGCTGCAAAAGACTCTCACTGACATTCTTCATTTCTTGTTGTAGAGCATGGAAGTCTTCAGTGGTGTTTTCCAGATCGTTGTAGAGACGGTCACGTTCCGCTTGCTTTTGCTCGAGGTCAATCTCCAACCTTTGCACCGTATCCAGGGCTTCTTGTCTGAGCTCTTCAGTTTCCTGCTCTTTGTCTTGTAGCAGCTCCAGAGCCTCGTCGCGCTCGCTTGCTAGTGCCTGTAGGTCTTCTGTCTGTGCTTCTATCTCCCTCTCCAGCTCCTTGACCTTGTTCTCGGTGGTCTCAAGCATATCGAGATGACCATTAAGCTGGTCATCAAGCTCCTTGTATGAAAGCTTCAGCTGCGATAGCTCGTCTCGCAATGCAGCATTCTTGCTTTCGAAGTCTTCTCGATCGGGATCGCTTTGCTGGGTCAAACGTGTTCCGCCGCTTGCTCTCGAAACAGATCTCATGTGGTTGCGGGAGATGGATCGTTCCAGAATGCTATCACCGGCTGTCGATCCAGCATCTCCTCTGCGAATTGTGAGTTTCAAGCCTTCGTTCTCTTCCCTCAGTCGAAGATTCTCTCGGTTCCTTGAAGTGAGCATGGAAGCTTGTGCGTGGAGATCTCGTTGCAGCTTCTCGTTGTCGCTTTGCAGATGTTCCACTAAAGTACTACTTGTGCCGCCGAGCGAGACTGGCGCAGTATTCTCATTCCCATCAGATCCAGAGTTCGAACGGGCAGCAAAGGATTGGTGCATGCGCCGTGAGTTGTTAAAGACCTTGTTCATGTGATGGTTCGTTGTCGAGTGCTGCATCTGTTGCATCTGCTGGTTTTGATCTTTCAGACGCTCAAGCTCCTCTCGAAGCCTCTCGGTCTCGGTCTCTGCTTGCTGACAGCGGGTTTCCACCTGCTCGCGCCTCGCACGCTCCTCTTCGAAGTCTTCTTTCCACATGTTGATAGCCTCGTCAACACCAGCAGAGTCTTCACCAGAGCTCTTCTCTCGCATGGTCTTGATGTAATCAGCCATGCGTCGATTATCAGCTTCCTTCTGAAGAGCCTCCTGTTGCCACTGGTCCACTGTAATCTCCGTAGACTCTAGGCGCTCCCGCAAGAACTCGATTTCTTCCTCCAGTTCGGCTTGCCTAGATGAATGGACACTTCGTCCGTCTTCTGAGCCACTGCCAACATCTCTAGCAGTGGCGTGTCCCTCTTCCTGAGCCTTGAGCCTTCGCTCCAGATCACGAATCTTCTTGCGCATCGACTGGCTTTCCTTCTTCTCCGTCGCGAGATCAGTTTGCAGTTGGACGTTCTTCGAGATCATCTCCTTGACTCCCTCATCAGACCGGTTCTGCAGCGCTTGGTCGAGGAAATGGATTTTGAGCTTAAGATCAAAGTTCTCTTTGCTGAGCTTGTCGATTTTGCTATTCTGCTCCTTTAGTGTAAGATTGTGTTTACTGCGAGTGAAGGGAGTAGCCATGTGTCGTTTGTCTGGCGATCGCGAGTGCTTAGCCCGGAAGTCGCGCGCAATAGAGTCTGGCACTTGTATGTCCTGGATATGTCTAGCAATAACGGTGTCGGTAGGGGCGGGCTGCACACTGGGAGCGCGTGGTGTTTCTGGTGGAGTCGCACTGTTAGGCACCTCCTCATCCAGACGACCTAGACTATTGTCCGGCTGAAGAAAAGCGGACAGTGAGTTCGTGCTAATACTCCGGCCTTTCTCCCAGGGGTTGGTATCGCTGTATCCTGACATAGACGAGGCGATGCTACCCAAGCTTGGCAGTCTTGACAGTCCTAGGCTCATCCCCCGTGGTCCGCTCGAACGAGGAATAGCACCACCAGTCTGCAAAGCATAGTCTGCGCCGAGACTTGCACTGCTTCCGCCATCTCCAGACGCGTCGGAACGGTTGGTGAAGGACGATACGGATGACCGCTGGCTCGAACCTCGGTGCTGTAGGTAGCTGGGTCGCTTGCTGATCTTCTGC